AAACAATTTTAATGTAAATTAAATTAAAATCCAAAAAAAAATTTGAATAAAATAAAATTTAACTTTGTGTACAGCTTATATGATACTGTTGTTTCTTTACGTATTTTGAAACTCTTTTAATTTTATTTATTTTTAAATTTACTAATATAATGTGTAAGTATAGGCAATAGATGTATTATCATAATTAATTTCAATAAAATCTTCTTTTTAAATTTTTAACTTGTTATACTTTTATAACTATAATAACTAAAATAATTTAAATTATTTCACTATAATATTAATAATTTTTCTGTTATCTTTTTTTTTAAAATTTAGATAGGTACCTAAAGTTATTTTTACGTAAGTGATATTTTTAAGAACTTCACTAACTTTGTATTTTAAAATTATTTATTAATAATTGTACAATCTTATCATTTGTAATTATATTTAAGTTAGTTATAATCATGTCAAAATATTAATAAAATCAGTATTTCAAACGTAATATTTTATACCTAATTTACAACTAAATAAAACAAAATTTCAAATATTATAAATGTAAGATTAAAAAAAATTAATTTTATTACTAACTATTAGGTACATTTTTAGTGTTAATATTTACATATTTTAATCATAATAATGAAAAAACGATTTATGTAACTACAATATTGTATAGGTAAAAGAAAACAATGCTTGACAAAAAATTTTCAAAACACGTTAATTTTTCCATTTCCAAAATAAATACCTACTAATATTGTTACATATGAAAAATAATTTTCATAAACATCGATTATAAAAACCACGAAAATGTTTAAACCTAAATCCAATTAAACTTAAAATAATGAAAATCTGAATAATAAGTTATACTAAGTATACAGTATAATATAGGTTCTATTATATTTATAATTTTTAAATGAATAAAATTCGAAATTTGTGAACTTGCAATTGTATGTTATTTTATATTTTTAATGTTTAGTAACACTAGCCGTCAACTGTAATAATATTATAAGTAAACAACAAAAATAATGTCCGTACTTACCATAGCACTGAAAGCCATAATGCTTGTCACGTCTGCCTTGTTGGTACTGTTCAGCCAAGCAGCCACCAATTGACTGGATACTTTACTGAACGCCAACCTTTACTATATATACCTATTTACGTGTGCATTGTATTGGACAGTCTCCAGCAATTATTATGGTCAAAAACCTGTAATCCGGGATGGGAGAATTCTTAAGAGATATTATAATACGACAAACCCCTCCTACCGATATAAATGTTCAATCTCCGTTCCAAGTTTTTTTTTTTTTTATAACAATTTTTTGTATTATTTTTATACTTTATGCAATATATGATATACATAATATGTATATTTGATTTCAAGTAGTATTGTAAATAATTTTTTTTTATCTGTTTATATATTATTTTTGTGGTCTTCTTGTGTCGAAAACCGGTCGTCAGTATGTCCATCCAAAGGTTTCACAACCATAATATTATACTACTATAATATGGCCTCTACAACCTTCAGCTGCTAAAATATGAACCCCGTTCCATTAGTTTGCAGCTATTTTGCACTTATTTTTGGTATCTACTCCTTCGCCATAGTCACCGCAGTGTCGCAGAATATGAGTTACCTACGTTCAGTAATCATATTAAAATTGAATTTACAACATAAACTAATTTATGATAAAAATGTATAAACATCAAATTTAAATAATAAAATATGATATTATGATGGCTTATAAATTAATATATTATAACGAGGCGTATTATATTAATGTAGGTAAATTAACAAATCATAATGTATTATGCATTGGTATACAATACTTAAATATTATGATTTAACATTTTCTGAGTAAAAATAAACTATAGGTAGGTACTATCAGAAAAACAGGTAGGTTAATTTAAGTACCAGCTATTCTCTTTATACAATTGTACAAATATACTTGTAATACCATATAAAGTTCCATGATTTTACAACAAATATAGTAACTTTAAGCGCTAAACTATATACTAAAACCAATTAATATAAATTCAGTAAATTGTAAATTGAATTTTTACGATTCTAAAAGTAATTACAAATTACAATTTTGATAATTGGTAGAAGTAAATTATATAATTTTTTAACATTTTAATAATAAATTATTACCTATTTTATTTATTTGTGCATAAAATGTATTCGAAGTCTGTGAACTGAGTTTATATTGTTGATATATTTTAACAATTCATTAATTATCTTTAATAAACACAGTTTATTAATTGAAAATTTCATAATGAACGAAAAGTACAGTTATCGATTTAAATTACTCATAGATAAAAAATGTATAAAATATGTATTATTAAATTAATCTTTAAACAGTTTAAACACAAAGTTAATTACCTACTATAATAGGTACTTAACACTTTTGCTTACCTACCAAATTAAATTTATTCCTAACACAATAATATACAAGTTCAGTTCATGTATAAGTAAATTCTATGTACTCAGATAGAATAATATTTTGATATTTAAAAAAAATTTTAAGTGCATAAATGTCTATAATTTGTAGTAAAATATCCAAATAGTACCTACCTATTGCAATAAATTTGCTTTTATTCGTAAGTAGGTAGGTAATTTTGTCAATTCAATCAAATTACTAATCCAATATGTCATTGATTTTGTAGCTACTAAGCTAGAGATAATTTAAATTATTCAGTTTTTCGTAATAAGATTCCATCATGCAGTCACACCCTAAATTAGTATAATATAATAAATTATAATGATATACTATTATTATTATTATTATTCTGGTTTTGAAACAAAAACCTATACAGCAGCGCTGTTTAGCGACGAAAATTAACAGCGGTACTGACTTGTATTAAAACTTTACTGATAGATAGCGCTACTAAACTGTAAGTTTTGTTTCTGTAGAGTGTAGAAGATGATAGAAAAAAATATTTCCCAGGCCGTTTTTGCAAGGTAGCTCAACCTTGGATTCCGAAGAAACTTTCTCTCAACGTAGGTACGAGGTACCTACAGTACTTTATTGAAATAAACATCATCCGGACATCCGGTACAAAAAAGAAGATTTGCATTCAGCAGAACCAATTTTGTGTTATAAAAATTCACTTCTCCAGTAAAACAATGACGTAAGTGAAAATATAATATTATTCTTTGGAAAAAAAATTGTAGTTCAATTGAACTATGATTGAAAACTGGTCATCCAACAACGCAAGACGCAACTGTTCTCTAGCGTATAGGTATTATACTTACCGTCATTGTTTAGCGAAATGATTTTAAAATATGTGAGTGAATCTATTGTCCAATTTAAGGGGAAGAAAATTATCAGTGTTCTTTATGATGGTTATACTTATGAATACATCTGTCTTTAAACTAGTTGTAATATTATGTACTTATATAAAATCAAGCAGTGTAAAAATTCTTTGAACGAGATTATAATAATATAGCTGTTCAAAAAAAGGTAGGAAAGTGAGCACCGCCCTGCTCTGTAAATACATCAAGTATCCAGTGGGTCACTACTCAATATTATGGGTGTGTTAAATTTGAATTCAATGATAAATTATTTTTATATTAAAAAAACGAAATGTTTTTTTTTTCTTTACGAGTTAAACATTTTTTAAAGAACCTTGTGTTCAATGTTAAAAATGTAAGTAAAAAAATAAAATTTATCATAAATTTCTAACTTTATATGTTTATAGGAAAATACTGTGACTACCTACTGATTATAGATTTTTGATATTTTTTTTAATAAAATTAAGAAATTAACAATTTATAAGGAGTTTTATATTAAATTTTCAAACTTTTCTACCCAATGGAAAATGAATATTTTATAATAGAATTTAATCAAAAAAATTGAAAATTCTCATGTTTATAGTATAAAAATAATTTAAATGTTTTAAAAATCCTATCTTAAATAGTAAAAGTAGCTAGTCAACTATGCACTTATAGTTGGAAACAATATAAATCTATTGACTTTATAGTATACATGACTTTTATTATTTTATGATTATGTAAATATAAATTAATATAACAAATAATCAATATCAATTAAAAACATGTATGCATTGGTTTACATTTTAAAAAAATACCCGCATGCTTATAAAAAAAAGTGTTGAAATGTTTAAAAATTAAATTTTTTTGATTTAAATTTATCATTATAAGCGGATTAACAACCATATCACCAATTATATAATTTTACAAAACATAAAAGTATGTTTAATTATTAATATTAAGATATTTACTAGAATACTAGGTACTTTAAGAAATTTAATGACACGTGTAAGTGTTATCTATAGTGTGGTTGTGCAACTAGTGAGTAAATGTCAATAAACAAATCACTTAAACTGTCAAAAGATAATTGTGAACATATAAAGTTGTAGGTGTTGTACATAATTTTATTTCATTTTTTTTTAATTAGTAAGAATAGTGTAGAATAATTTGGTTGTACTATGCATATACTTAAACATAAATAAATGTAAAATAATGATAAGTAGTATGTTTATTTAAAGATCATAAAGTATAATTTATATGTCATAAAGGCTAAGATTAAAAATACAAAAAAAAACAAGAATTAAGGTGAGTTGCATCAAAGTACAGAAAATTTAATATGCAGTATACTTAATTAAATACTTATTAAACTATATAAGTATAATAATAATGATAGATCAGGTTTTTTTTATCATCATAAAAATACACATAATAAAGAAAGAAAAAATTAGATTTTATTATTTCAAATGATTTTGTTTTTAAAAATATGTAATTAATAAATAATGTCATTATTATTAGTACATACTATAATAACGTTCTATTTACGACTAGACTATGTTAATAATTTGTTTGTTTTTAACAGAACGAACACAATTCTTAACACTATTTAAATACAATTCATATAACATATTAACAGATATATTGGGGTTTTATTTTTAAATCATATTTTACATTATTATATATATACTACTTACTTTTAAAATTAATTTAACTAGTTAAAAATTGAATTAATTATTTACAATTTATAAATTTCATACAAAAAAATTATAATGACAAATATAAAATCTGGTATATGGCGCAATTTTAAACACCTTTTATAATGCTTTATACATTTTTGAAAACAACAACAATTAATCTTTCATAAATAAAACAAAATAATAATGACCATACTCAGGCAATAGCCTATTAACAAAAACAAGCACATAAATTAATGTTATGTAACATTTTGTCAAAAATAATGAATTTAAAAGTTTAAGTAAACAACAGATGAAAAACATGGGAACAAGAGGACAATATGAGCAACTATATTCTTTGGTATAATAATGTCAGCAATTCCCATTGTCACAAAGAAATAACATGGTTGTGTTACTATAATTATTACTACAATTATTATTATTATTATTATTATTATTATTATATTATATATAACTTATAATTATACATTATTATTGTGTATATGAATTAAATATCGTCATCGCTATCGCCTGCATAATCAGACGAATCATTGTCATCATACATATTTGACGGTGAAGAGAAATCAGTGACCAAAACTCTTGGCTGATTGGATATTTTATTTAATGTACATGATTTCAATACATCATCCAAATTAGGTGACAGGATATCTTCAATATCAGTTCCATTTCTAAAAAAAATTCTAGTATTAATTCTTTTACACCTCACTACTATAATTATTAATCACTATAATAACTATAATACAGAAGGATAAAACACAATAGTTTAAAATAGTGTTATTACGGTGAGGTGATTACTGCTACAGTGGTTATACAAAAAAATAAAACAATAATTGTAAAGAATGTTCTAGTTTAAGGGTGTGTTACAAAATTATAGGATTGTGCTAATCAACGCTGGAGGACAGTACAACAGACCACAGACACTTACCACAATCATACATATTTCTTCTTTCAAATGTCTTCGTCTGTTATTCTGTAATAATATTACCACCAATTTTTTTTTTATATTTATAAAATTTAGGCGATGATGGAAAATTGAAAAAATAACAAGACTTCCGTAAAGAATCCATTAGTTATATTAATTTAATAAATATGAAATACTTACATTTCTTCTGGTGCATCATTTCCACCTTCTTCAGCTACTAACATTTCATATTCTTCAGCAGCGTATTTGTCCCAGTCTGATGCCTGAAACGATAGAAAAATATGTGAACTTATTGTGCATTAAATATAAAAAAATATCCATAAAAAATTAAAGGTACATTCCGACAACTTAAACAAGCTATAAAGATTAAGACAACTGACCTTATAATATTTATTTCCATTTTCGTTATGCTTGAAATTGACGTTATCATATAAATACATAGCAAATAATGGTTTAAAAATATATTAAATTATATTTTACTTACTTCATTTTCATTATCTCTCTGTGACGCAAATGGATCACGTTGTTCATGATCCAGATATTTTTCAAGGTTAAAGAATGTATCAAAAAATATCGGAGTCATTTTGCATGATTTGAGATCAGCTAATGAAATTTTGCCACTACACTTTGGTTTTACCATGTCCAGCATCTATATTGATTTATAATAACAAAAATGGCATAAACAATTTAATTTAAAATTGATGTTTATAGTATATATTTTAATATTATACCTGACACAAACAATCCTCAAATGGTAGACATTCAATTCCTATGCTTTCCATTCTTTGCAATTGCTCGTCATAGAAATATTCAAGTTCATACATTGACAAATAACCATCACCATCAATATCCATGCATCTAAAATAGTCATATACATTTCTCAATGATATGTGATAAGACATTATGATATATTTTTTTGAAAATCTTACCTAAACCAATATTCGACAGCTCTAGGATGTCGTTTATCTTCTTCAGCCATCAGGAACCAAACAAATTCTGTGTAACTCATTTTTTCTTCCATATAATTGTTATTAGAATTCTTTTGCTTTTTCTTAGTAACAGTCCCCGAAAATATTCTATCAATTATTCTTGTGGACAAAGCTATAAAAAATATATGCATCATATCAAATGTAACAGATAAAATAATAATTTATAATACTATCCTTGTAAATGTTTATGCAAATAAGACTAACCGTGATCACTGTGTCTGGCTAAATCGGTTTTGCTGATGAATAAATCGTGGTCACGATCCAGTTCCCAAAACTTACAGTATATAACATAGAAATGTTCATAACTGAAGTAAGCTGTCACTTGATTGATGTCTTCTTCTTTTTCTAATAGGTCAATGACTCGAATTAGATCTGATCGTCTGATTTCTGCTAGGCTAAGATCTCCACTCCATGACGTGTTAACACTGTAGAATATCCTCGATATTACCTAGGATTTAAAATCTTTAGTTTTAGTCAATGTGTAAACATGTAATACATAATTTTATACCTGAGAAATTATACTAAGATAGTTTTTTAATAGGCATTCATCATATTTGTAGTTAAATATTTAATAAAAAAAAAAAAAAATTATAATTAACACCTAAATATATTTAATAATATTAATATTATAATTAAATTTACATTTGGATATCGTGGTAAACCACCACGTTATGACCAGTCGTTCTAGACTCTAGTATGATTGATGATCATACAACTATAATCTACACCTATTTATTGTATTAAAAATATTTTAACACTTAATTTTAGGAAAAAATTAATGAAAACGAAATTTATTATATTTTGTTTTAAAGAGAATGCTACTCTTATATATGTTATAAATGTGTGGTAATGGTATACCAAATTTTTGATTATTAGAATCTATTACGTGTAATTAATTTTAATATAAATTCAAATGTAAAGGTAAGAATATTTTTTTTAAATGATAGATATAAGCATTTTAAATTTGTATTATTTTAAGTACTTTATCTCGCTTAAAAATAAAAACTTCTAAAAAAAAAAATTACACTTAAACACTGACAATGTTCTTACTTTTAAGTTTAATAACAAGTCAATTCATTTTGATATTAAAACATATAATTGATTCTAACGAACGCAAATTTGCTATACCATACCCTGTACGTCTGTAAGACGGAGATAATACATAGATGGACGGGTTGCGTCCTCTTAAATACTTCTTTCCAAGCATTTTTTAAGTAATTGTATATTTATATCTATACATTATGTATATCTTTATTTAAAATTTAAATACAAATAAAAAGTAACAGTTTACGAGATTTATTTGTTTAAGTATAAAATAAATTGGTTTTATAATGTTCTAATTACCGTGTGCACATATCTAGAATGGAACTCAGGCGCAGTTTTCAGGAATGTTAAACCGGGATGCGAATCGACCACATCTTGGACTAATAAGATGAAGTTTTCAGGTGATAATGTTTGTTTCTTTGAGTTTCTTGCCAATATGCGTATAAATATTGATGGCAAGTCGTGACAAGTAGACCACACGCTATATATACATATAAAAAATCGATTGAGTATAAATATTGTTATTTTAAGTGTTGAATAATAATAATTATAACAATAACGGCGAACTTACTCTTTCCAATAGTTAAGAAAGGTATTTAGGTCTATGGTACTGGACAAATCTCCGCCACAGGCAAAGAACAAAGGTTGCTTCCAATAAAACGGGCAGTTACACAACTACAATACACACGAAAATGATAATATTAAAATATCGTATAAAAATTATAATGATTAGATATGAATTACTTTAGCGATTTGGCCGAAATGGTGTTTCGAAGCTTGTGAATTCGGTAATGACATAAAGAAATCTGTGATTGTTTTGACGATCGTATCCCACTGCTGTTGACTCTCGGGCTTGCCAAATGGATAGTAGAATCTAAAACAAATAATTAAATTCAGTACTCCTCCTATATTAATATTATAAAATCTTTGATGGTCACAAACAAATGCCCATACCTAGGAATGAATACGTTACGATTGGCCTTTGTATGTCTTTGTAATGTAGTATGCGGCGGAGGCGCTCCAGGTTTTTGATTGGTTTCCTTTGAATAGTTCTGAAATGATAATACGATAGATTATTAACATGATCGTTTCTGATAAAATCGTTTGAAGAAAACACGTCCTTTCTTCCCCTAACAACTTATGTTGTCCCAGACAGTTGCCAATTGAGACTATAAATTAGTCCCGGAAAACTAACACAATAAGTAACAAGTATTATTATTTATTACTAAATATCATCAACATATCCACCCAAATAAATATAAATTAACCTTATTTGTATCTACCCAAGTGATGATTTCCACATAACTATCTCGATCAGTCTACCTTTGGATAATAAAATATTTTATAAGCACATTTATTAAAAAAAAAATGTATAAGTAATGAGTCATTACTTATAACATTCATTTTAACAGAGTTACTGAGTTAAATATATTTATATTATTTTTTACAATACACGAATTGCAATCATAACGTATTGTCGTAATAATATATATTATACATCTAAATTAAGTTGTTTACATAATAGCATTATATACCACAGCACAGATAACAACTCACGACCTCCGATTATGAAAATTATTAGGGACAATACACATTGCCACCGAAAAATAAGCTCACGACGCTACCACGTCCATAATATATTATGTTGATTATATTTTTATAACACGAAGAGTTCGTCTTGCACGTGTTGAATTCATAATAATAATTAATATGTACATAATAATACACACATTGTATATTATAATGTAAATTGTACAGATTTATTTATATGCATCTTAAACCGGGTGTCGTGCGTCTGCAATACATAGGTACACCGGTAAAGAGGACAGTGGGGGTCCCATTATCAATAATTTTAAAAACGTCTTGTACGTGACCTAAAGACGCAGCGCGTTTTCGTTTTACATAATCCACTGATGATTACTCAATAACATAGGTAACGACGTACACGTGGAACCATATTTTAAACATTATGGTAATAAAAAGTAATACACATTGTAACACGCGATATGCACGAAAAAAGTACATGCCTATGTTGAGACAAAAAAACTCGATTTTCACACGATATCGAAATAATTGCAGAAAAACATTGAAACGTATGTATTTCTTGATTTTAATTCGAATGAGTTTGCTGTGAGACCATAAACAGCATTTGACAAATGCAAATTATATTGCAATTATACATTATTATATAAGCACCGATTATAATAATAATAATATGATGTATAGCAGTAATAAACTAAAGTAGACCTTTATAATATGTATATGCATGTGTTGTACATAAAACACACAATGACGATTCGAACGACAACGATAATCATTGTATTACACATTACACGTTTTGCCCGCTCAAGCGAACGAGTTTCAAAAAACAAAATTACAATATCACTTCCCCCGCGTACACAAGGATTGGTGTGCACCGTATTCGGTGCAAAAGCGTCTGGAGATTTCTTTTAATTTACAAATGACATGAACAGCTGCAGCTGCAGTGTACGTATTGTTATGTAGTTATATTAAATATGCATCAAATAGGTAGGTACGTAATCGTAATGAAGGTAGCTGCTGTAATGTAGCGATGACCATGAAATCGAAATCGTTTGTGCCTATTCGTAATAGGTACGTCCGCGCCCTTTTTTCAGGCAAAACAAACCGTGCCGTCGTAGTCAGTTTAACTATAATAATATATAATACACTATATATTTAGGATGATCGGATTAGATTACTAATGTAATTTTGTACAAACTACCTAATATGTATAATATATAAATGAATAAACTGTTTTTTCGTCTCCTCAATACTTAACAAATTTCGCACGATAATTTATATAATTTTATTATATCACGGATAGCGTTCGTATTTTCCCCCGCCATTGAGAACTTTTGCGGTTTGTCACACATAAAATGAAATATTAACTCCGCAATCACGTTCCTCTTCAAACAATGTCTAATAAGTGTACAGGTAAGCCAAAATAATCAGTTGCCAAAAAGCCAAAAATAGCCAAAAAAAAAAAAAAATGAGCTATATTAATTTCCATTTAGCGTTTCAGACATAATGTTTGATGATGTATATTAAGATTATTAAGATAAATCGTATATAAAACAGTTACAAACGTGAAGGCGGGCATACGAGTTGACGCCTATTTCATATCTATATATTTTTATTATCCATATAGTAGGCGGGCGGGCCGGCGGATATGTACGAGGACAAAGACAGAATCATGCATCACTCTGTACAACGGACATGACTGCCGTTAAACAGCTGTGCCGTTATGCAATTATATAATAATATGCCTAAAACATATAGGGTCCTAACGTTTCGGCCGCATTTTTCGACGACTAAAAAATTTATAGGAACCCGGGAGGGAGACACGGAGAATTGAATACAACGAAAAAAAAAAAAACAAACTAACCTCTGAATAAACGGTTCGTCTGCGCTCTATTACCTGTTATTGTTAAAAGTCACTACTATCCGAGTCTATACGCGAGTTGGAAGAGAAAATTAAATTGCGGGCGGTCGAGCAAAAAATTAAATTTGATTTTACACGCCTGGCACGCGCATATCCTACCTATAACCTATATATAAACATATACCTATACTGCAATACGTATCGAAGATATACATGCTCGCAGTAGGAATTACCGACCTTGTTGTAAGACCTGGGCAATCGCTGTTTCCAGGGTTTGTACGGAAACCTGGGCTCGTGGACCGGATCATCCTCGACGCCACTGTCGTGCCTTTGCAACACGAGCACCTGACAGGCGTAGCACCAAGGACGCACGCTCGTCACCATGGTGTCCCGACGTCATATCTCACACCGCGGCGGCGGATGCACGTCCGGTGCATACTGCAAAAGACGCGGCGCAAGTGTCGCGAGTGCGGAGGGGACGAGACGGTGTAAGTGGACGGTGTTCGAGCGAAGTCGTAAGCCGCACACGGACAGAAGAGACGCGTTCGAGACGTACACACGACGACGACTGCTAAATCGCACAGACGAGTGTTTGTTATTATGTCGCCGTCGCCGTCGCCGTTGTCGGTGGATCGCGGCGGACTGCGCGGAATGGCGAGCCCACGCGCGAAACGCGGTGTAACAATTTGTCGGGATGCGAAACGACCTCAGTTAACAATTATTAAGCGATAAAAACGACAAGCGAATAAAAACGAATTAATAAAAAAAAAAAAACGCGGTAAACCGACGTCGGCGGCGTCGGCGATAACGCCGTTATACGCGTAATATAATATTATTATTGAATTGTGTGCAGCAGTGTAGTTATTGCAGTACAGAACGTACACGCGACGGTGAGACCGCGCTGAGCGGAGGTCGCGACACAAAAGCCGCCGTACGCGAACATCTGACCGGACGACTTTTTTTCCACTCGCAAAACTCGCATCACACTATATTATCATAACCATTATTATTATTATTATTATTACTATTATTACTGTACGCGACGAAGGCCGCACCACTCCGGTTCTGCGGCGGTTAGCGCGCGACGCGTTGACGCGTCCGACTGCTGTGGCGGCCGCGTTATTATATTATTATTATTATTATTATTATTATTATGACGACGACGTATTATTACTATTATTAAGTCGAACACATGTTGACCCAGCGACTGTGGAACACATTCACTTTGTGACTTTGTAAAATGAAATAGTAAAATATATAAAAAACCTGCCTTGCAACATTCTCCCTCCGCCGCCGCCGCGCGTTCACCGCTAACATCTGTAGTTCGTTCGTTCGCTCGCTCTGTCCTCCTAATACACTGTGATAAAAAATAAAAACCCACTTATTAACTCTGCTGCGGCACAATCCGACCACGTCCAAAATCCGTTTACTTATTGACTATTGTCGTACAGAATAGGTGCATTATGATAATTGATAACACACACACACACGCGCGCGCGCGCGCGCCAGTTAGTTCCGTAACACATAACACATTGTCACTGTAACGATGTTTACCTACATTACTTACGTGTGCGCTTTATAAATAGGTAAGTTAGATGTATCGTTATTACGCGATCATATTATGGCCTAGTCGATCTCGCACTAATGGTTCTGGAATTTGGTGCACAGGCGATCTTGTACCCGAGGATGACGTGCACACCGCTCGTAGTTAATTTTTAAAATTTTGCATTTCGAAGAGGGGCTCCTTATACGGGGATTTGTTATAGCTCGAGGAAAACGAATATTATGTTTGTGTGTATGGGTTTTCGTTGTTTACATAAAATAAAATAGTTATAGTCAGATATGGGCAATGCCGTGCAGGATGATCGACCATAAAAATAGCAAAATACCTTTAAAAGTTATACCTATTTGCGCGACACTATGACGTCATACTATACGTTTTGTTGCGTATATACAGTAAAAGGAAAAGCGCATTCATTAACAAATAATAATTTATACGTCGTTTTTACACACAGTGTACAAGAAAGGTGTGGTGTAGCTAGAGTGGTGTTTTGGGTCATGTAATATTCCCCGTCAGCCATATTTATACAAAAAATGTATTTAATATAATTTGCTTTAGATATATCTAAAAAAATGTGATATCATATGGTTATTATACTTTATATTATATATTATTATTATTATTATGTAGATTGATAAGTTCAACAGTGTGAGAATCCCCCCTCATCTAAGAGCGCTCGAAGTGAGTATAGGAATCCCCCACTATACATAATATGTGTATTTATTACGCGTTTTCGATAAGCTTGACGGATTAACTACAAACACGAACGCAGGATAAAAGGTTGTTTGTATGCTCAAGTCACCTACCTCATCACTAGTACCACCCAATATAGAATAACTTGTTTGATACACGTCTATAAATAAATTAGTTTTACGCTATATATTCGTACGACTACAGCCGAACCGCACGCAGTGGTAATGAATATAATAATGATAAGCCACGCGGCAGTACTTCAGACTCGTGCATAAAGTTCGCCTCCGGTGCGAACCGCACCGCTATGATGTACTCAGCTCAGACGGAGCAACTTCATCATTCCTACGCCGGCATCGATGACACCACCAAGCCCACACGATCCGTGAACCAAAACCCGGACATTATATTTTTTAAAACCGATTATGTTCAAACTATATTTTCATGATAATTAATCTGCTTTCTTATATCCGAATTTATACACTCAAAAAATTAAAATTTGTACAACAAAATTAAATTCACCTGTATAACTAGTATACCTACAATAATGTTATGCAGCTACATTAATTTTCGAAATTAAAGCATAGAAATTATTTTTTAAGAGGACAATCTTAAAGGATCCACTTTTCTCGTCTCCGTCGTACAAGTGTGTAACGTATTACAAAGGAAATATACAGTCGACAATTTACGCTTAGCTTTGTTAGGTTTAATATTGGAGTAAATCGACCGATCGTGAAAGTTAATGGTTAGAACTTTATCTGTGTTCGTATGTATTTTTATTGCGATATCATTCAACTTTTCGTAAAGTTTTGAATGTATAAAATAACGCAGTTTAAAAATACTTATAACTCGCATATAAACGAACAAAAATAAACTTATCACCATTAAATTTCATAATAGGCCAATTTATTCTAATATTAAAGCTAACGAAGCTGAACTTGAACTGCTGAGAATAAATTTGCTTATGTTACATAATTGTAAGACGGAGACAACAAATGCGGGGGAACCGTCCTCTTAAGATTTTTTTTTTTATATTTTAAGCGAAATACAAGTAAATAATTGAATACCCAATTCAATATTATAGTGATGTGCGTAAAATAGGAAATATATTTCCACAATAATCCATGCGAACAAAACAATATATTGATTGTTCGGTTAGTGAGTAAATGTTAACACCTTTTTTGACCTAGTTGCACGCGTGTAGAAAACGGTTTGCGAAGATCCAAACTTTAAATGACAACCACGGTTTAGGAATCATTCAAATGTAAAATATACGATTTTTTTTCGAGAGGGGTGACCAAACGTCTATACGATAAACTTGACAAAATAAACTCACTTGGATTTTGCTGTGCACGTCAGAACCGATGTTCTTCCACGACGAATGAGACGACGAAGAATTGCAGACGGCCGAATTCTTCATCAGTTCGGTCGGACACTTTTCGAATATGAGCACACGCTCGGCGACCGAACCGCGCGTCAAAAACGGCCGGACCGGGTTCGACTGGTGGTGATTGGACCGAATGTGGGCCCGCTGGTGATCGGTGAGCTCGGGGTGCGGCACCTGTTCCTGTTGCCGGTGCGCGTGCTGGTTCCGCCGGGACGAGCTGAGCGCGGACAGCCCGATGAGGAACTCCGGCTTGGAACGGTGGCCGGCGGCCGACGACACGTCGTAGCCTGCACCGGCGGCGGCCGACCGCAACAGCACGCCCTCCTTGCTGGGCACGGCCGGCTTTTCGGTCTTCCTGTTCTCCACCACCGAGCCGTTCTTGAGCGCGTCGATCAGCCGCTGTTCCTCTTTGGCCACCTCGTCCATAAAGTCACACGCGTTTTGCTGCGACTGGGCCGCTGCCGTCGGCTTGCCGCCGTTCCGAAACGGCCACGCGGGACCGCCGTCCGCGCCCTTGTTGTCGTCGTCTGCGGTCGGCGACGCCGCGTAGTTCCGCAACGGCGACGGCTTGCTGCAGTACCTCTTGGCGGCACCGCCCCCGCCGAAGTTTTGCTTGCTGGCGACAGCGTGCTGCTGCAGTTGCTGCTGCTGCGGGTGATCCGGGACGAGGCCAGTGGACGAGGAGGAAGCCTTCTGCTCGAACTTTTGCAGCGCGTACTGAATGGACGAGGCGAACGGCTTGGGCGACAGCGAACGCGATTGCCGGGCCGCCTGCAGCCGAGCTTTGTCCTCTACCACGAACTTGTTCACCAGCCGTTCCAAGTTGTTGGTGCCGCTGGGGTCGGCCATCAGCTGCGCGCCGCGGCTGTGGTGCACCGGAACCGCGACTTCGGACGGCGATTTGGGTTGCGGCGTCAGCGCCGAGCCGAACTTGTCTGCGGCGGCCGACGAGTCGCGGTGGCACGTCAGTATCTCGTTGGGCGCTAGGCCTCGGGCCTTCCACGTCTGGTATATCGCCTCCGCGTGGTCGGATATCTGTTTGGCGATGGCCGCGATGTCTTCTTCCGGTTCCGGAGCCATGTTACCTCCTGCGGCGGCCCGATGGTTTGCTGTCGTGGTCATCGCTCGCCGGACACCGGCCGTGTACCGTTCAGCCCGCGACGACGAGGGAGGTGGTCATGCGATTTTTCGGCGGTCGGCGCGCGGGACACGACACCGCTGCAGCGGCGTTGACGACGACGGCCTCAGTGGCGGCGATAACGGCGCTCCGTCATGATGACGGCGTATTTACCTGTAACCGCACGTCGGCTATGATACCGCACCTGAAAAAGTGATTGAAATTCCGGTTAGATTACAATAATATATATATATATATATATATATAATAACGTCATTTTATGTAGGTACATGACGCTGCAGCGTGTCAAAACAGTCACAAGGTAACAGTAAATAAAATTATAGGTAATATTTTTTTGTGGTACGACCTTCGGATTCGAATCGGAATTATTTCATGAATTGATTATGTAGATTTGATACAACGAGAAAAAATTTTTACACGTTTTTCAAATTAAATCATTTCAAATTTATCGAGTTTCGACCGTTATAGTAGTATACGCGAACGAATAAAAGTTTGAATTATTAATAACGTGTTGATATTCTAAGTTAGTCGTTTAAAATAACACGAATACTATAAATGTTAACGTTAAGCTTAAAGTACCGCACTTACATTAGTGTACCTACATTATTTTTACATGTGTTGAGAGTTACATGTTTATACTCAAACGCGTGCCAAAAAATTGCAAAACCATAGGGGTATTCCCCAAAAACATGAACATATTCAACGATTATCAAGTCTACGGAAACAGTTCAATTGAATATGAAAACTTTAATAAGATATATTATTATGCTTAATAATATAACATTTGATACATTTTGAAATTACGTAAATAGCTAAAATAGCTTGGTAGAATAAAATGCGCAATAATAATTTATTAAATATACAGATAAAAAGCAACTCCAAATAATTACAGACGTGATTTCACAAAAATATTTAAATGTTTCTTTTTATTTTAGACAGACTATTATAGCTGTACATTAATATATTATAACATATTATATATGTAATATTATGTTGCTATGGGATGCAACTTTTACATCGTTTTTCGTGAGAAAACAAACACCTATTTCCGTAATGACAAATCAATACGAAACTATATTAATATAATAGTGTAATATACTGTGTAAGTCACTCGCGATTTCACTGCACCGCGAGCAGTGCGTGTAGCCGGTGTACATTATAAGTACCTACTTTCCACCTGTTTTTCTGTCGATTAAAAAATCTTATTGTATTGTTACATCTCGTCACAATAACTGCACATCGCCGCGTTTCGCGTTTACCGCACTATAAATTCGCGGTGGAGCGGTTGCGCTTTCAATGTACCTATACAGTTATTACTCTGTGTTCCGTATTGCCGATATTCGAGTATTCCAATTAAAATTATGAAATTAATTAAGATGACGAATTTCAGTGTAATTAAAAATTTACGACGGTTATATCATTATGACAAATCAGCAGAAATATCAGATCACACGTTAAAACATTACCTACGTAAAAAACAAATTTCGTTTCCCCGAAAAATTACTGCAGGTCGATAAATTCGCACACTGCTCGTGGTACGCGCCGCGCCATAGTATGATATTATTTAAGCCATTTGATCGAAAATACGATACACAGTATACACGATATAATATTATTATTATTGTTATACACGTACACGATGCAATTACTGAAGTGTAGGTGGCTGCGTTTAATAGCAGTAGCAGCGGCAGACGAGTTAAAGGTCGCGTGTTCCAAAGGAAGGAAATGATTAACTAAGGGCGTTGTCAATTAATGTATTAGACACGCAAAAGGCAACGGCGGCGGCGTGTCGTTTCCTCGGTGCGTATATATACGGGTACCGTCGTGCTGGCTGGCTGGCTGACGGTCTGGGTCGACTCGCTCACTCCTCTTCCTCTCGACGATGTACACGTAAATAATAATAATAATACGATAAAGCCCAAAGCGCGCGTAATGTAATTAAACGAATCGCTAGCGGGGCATTTACACGGGTCAAACGGAAAACACCGGCGAGCAATGGAACGGGTAAAAATAAAAACCGACGAACGACCGTTGGGAGGGTCTCTGGTTTTTACGATTTACCGAACCGGAATCGGACGGATGACTGTCGGACGCGGGCGCGCGAGGGACAAGCCAGAACAGACTACTGCGGCCGAGGAAGTACCGAATCGCCGTCGGCTGCGGTGGTGACGGGCGATGGGTCGGACGTTTGACTCCGATCGTACAGCACCGCCATAGTGGCGTTTCTATATATAGATCCGGCGGCAGTTTCTCGGTCCCATGTGCACATAAGTCGTCGGCGACCGGATCGTCGTATGTATAATATACCGTACGTGTGTACTAAAACATGGTACACCTATTTACAGTATTACAGAGGCGCACACGGCGATTTCCAATTTTTTTCAAGCCGGATGGGGGAGGGGGTTAAAAGAAAACGGTTCAATATGTACGTATGCGCGTATTATAAGAATATTTTTACGTTTTTACGCGATGAATTTAGGCCAAGAGGTTGGAGTGGATTTGAACATCTAACCGCCAACCCTTCCCCGTTGAAGTGTATTATGAATTATATAATGGAATATTGTCTGTTACGATTGTTTTACTGACTTTTCCTCATTACATAACATACAGACGCGGGATGTCACAAACCGATCTGTTTGATCGACTGCGCTTATACGCATTAAATCTATCGGTAGGCTTTTTGCGATTTCTAAAATATTACATGATGGTTTGTTTTAAAACATTATTTTTATATTGTTTAGATATTTTAACTATTTATGTAGATATTTATTGATTTCTTACAAATCACCGATTCATAACAATATTGTTGTGTACTGCGGATTGCGATTTCACATTATAAAGAAGCAATCTCATTTCTAAAAATATTAATGTAAAAATATTAAAAACTAAACGAATAGTATTAAATTATTATTTTTAAGTGTTTTATAAAATTAAAAAAAAAAACACTTATTTAAATTATAAAAATAGATATTTAAACAATTGAGTTAATACAATAATTTAACCGGTCAAGTTAAATAGACTACTCGTTATACGTTTATTACACATTTACTTCAAGTGCAATACAAAATCGATTAGCATCTATAACACAAACGTCCGAGTAAGCCTCAAAACAGCTACTGCTGACATATTAAATATTATATACCTATATCAGCGAAAAGTTACATTGTTTCAAAGTTGAGTTTTTACTATAAGCATTATGTAGCAAAACGTCATCTCTGAAATGACACGAAACCGATAAACTTCATATTGATAATAATTTCGTTCCCTAACGATCATTCATTAGACAGTTTGTAAATTTAAAATTAATTTGCACTTCCATATAATGATCAAAAAGTGACTAAGTGATTTTAAACAAAAAGCCAAAAAGAATAATAAAAATAATATGATATTATAATACAAGTATTAAAGTATTATCAAATTTAATTTTAAAAGAAATAAAATAATTAGTTTGGCAGTGTTTTTCACACATCTGAGCGAGTGATGTAAAATCAAAACTATAAAATTCTGCGGCTTTTATAAAAATTAATAATGCTATATAATCTGTTGTATACCTACATACAGAAATTATTTGCAACTATTAGGTTTTGCTTAATCCCCACCTACGTATCTACGTAATAAGATTAACTGATGGCCGCTGGAACTTTTGAATACTTAACATATTTTATTTAACGGTTGAAATATACAAGAGTGTACGCTATAACTAAACAGTTAAAAATAACTTAACACGTAGAAAATTAATTTCGTCCACGCATTTCTTGGACATGGTCGTAAAACATACGTATCAATTAGATTTTTATACCAAATGTATTTTTAGGAACTATCAATTTTTCAAACCATTTCAATAATATTACTATATTATTATTATTATAAATAATAATTTATTCAAACCACGAGCACTTTAATTAAACTAAAAAATTGATTAGAATGCAATGTGGTGGTAAATAATGGCTATAATTTTCATTAACTAAATACATCTTTTATTGTATGATATTTCAAAATATAAACTTATTGAGTTGATCATTCATGAATTTATCTCAATAAAATTCGGTAAATTAAATTAAATATTTATTATTCTATGAACGGTTACCTATCTAAAAAAGCACTTCCTAAACAATTTTATGACTAAGTACCAAATAATTAATATAAATAAATAGTTTTTAAGTTTACTATAAATAACAAAAAGGTCACGTCATGTATTTATCGAGTTATATTATGTTCCGCGTTTATATTAATCCGATATTTTTCTTCACACACAAGTAATGAGGGCAAATGCCATTGCGCATAGATCATCGTATATCGATTACTGCAATTAATTTTCATTAAAAAGAGGATCATATAGGTAATATTAAACTTTTTAGGACATTATTTTCACATAAAATATTATTAATAATAACATTTAATTATTACTGTTACTGCAGTATATTTTTTTATTGTTATAGTATAACATATATTATGGAATTCGTTTTTTTTAAGTGGGCTTTAATTATTTATACAACAGTCATTGTACGATTCATTGTATATTGTTAATTTAACTAACTTAAAGTTTATTTAATACAACATATATATATAACTACTATATCCAGTTAACTTGAATGAACCATTCGACTTAATTTATGTTAAAACATAATAATTTATACTACATGGCAACTAGCAATCAACAATATTTTTACTTAATGATTAGTGCAGCAACTAAGTAAGAATTTTATAAATATTTAATATCAAATAAAATGAAGCAATACATTTTGATCAAGAATGCGGATCAAATAGGGTGCTAGAAAACGATAGCAGCTTCTCTCCCTAGTTTTATCAGCCTTAATTTTCCCTCGGAAAGAAATTCCATTATTTACTATTAATTTTGTGCGAAAAAAATGTATAAAATAATAATAACAATTGTAGTAATCAATATAAAATAATCATAGATCAATCACTGATTTCAATTTTCAGTATACATTCTGTATATCTTTCTGGAGTAACTAATATTGAGTTAACTATTAATAATTGAAAGTAAAATTCAATAAAAACGATCTAATGAATTCAATTATATCAAAAAACTAATTTATATATATATACAAACACACATAGATGTAGGAATATATCAGAAAAAAACATTATCACTATATAATATTAAATATACACACACATTATTAGTTTTATAGAAATTCTTAAACATAACAATGCACTGTG